TTCTATCTGTCTACTGCCTGTGATAATTCTTAGGATACCATAGTTCATTTTTGCTAAAAGCTTCTTGTTTCTTGATTTAATGTTATGTCCCTTATCATTAATTTTCGAATTGTTCTTGTATTTTCCAGTGCTCTTCGAACACAATTCGTGGGGTGTGAACTTGACATTGAATATCTAGGCAAGGTCCACTGCCTTCGTCAAGCATTTGACTATATTTTTGACTGTCATGAACCCACTGACTGGTTTATCGAGGTTGGGAAGCGTAATGTGTGTCGTTTACTTCATTGCCTTGGGTATCCCTTGACGGATTTTGAAGGGAATTATGAGTAAGTGTATTTTTGCAGTACTGGGCGTCAGACACCTACTTCTGCTTTTTCGCTTTTGCAGTTGAAAATCTTAACATTTTGTAGGCATTAAATTGTAGGTCTTTAAAAATGGTGTAATACTCTCATCTGTGTAATTGCTTCTATAAGAAAACTTAACTCTAGTCGTCCTCAGTTGTCATAGGACTTGGGTATTTCTGTTTTTACTGGATCAGTAAAGTAGTTTGTTCAGTGTTTAATCAGTCATCTGCAACGTATAACCGAACACACGTACGTTGACTCGATTTGCCATGCCATGCACAGTGACTAAAATTCTTGGGCTGGGGTTGTACGCAAAATGCTCGTCACTGAAATGCAAGAAATTTGGGAGCTCACTTAAATAATAGGGATTTATTATTTTTATCACTTTTGTGATCTTCAGGAATAAAAAGGTAAGGTATTTTATCGTGTGAGTTTCGGGTCATAATTGAATAGAAAGAAGGATCTCAAGGACCAATTGGCGTTAAGGTCTCATTCGTTGTTCATTAGTTAGATAGGCTATCGGTCCTATAGGCAATGTAGAAGAACTAACCAATAATCAGACAAAATAATACTACTGCTTCTTAATCACAGGGGCTCTAGCACAGTTTCAGGCGTCCGTTCTTCTGAAGACAACACTTTGTGTGTATATTGTGTTATGTAGTTAATAATAATAAGTTTTTGTTTGATTGATACAGATTTGTAAGTTTATCTTCACCAGAGGCGCCCCCAAATGCCCTGGTACGGCCGAGAGTGGGGAGAGTCCGCTCTCCCTCTCGAAATACTCTCACATGGCCACGCGTATATAGCCTCTGCCACGGAAGTTCTACTCACTGCCTTCTCGTGGCGGGGGTGTTGTTTACGAAAATGAGAGGACGAAAAGTGAATGTCCGCCGCTTTAACCGGATCCCAAACCAATGGCGCACATGGGCTCCAGTATCCTGAAGCAATAAATGGCGTATGAACCAATCATTGGTCACCGGCTTCCATGGACTGCATCTCCTCACGATGCTCCACTGCCTTGTGGACTAGACCTTTAGGTCGAAGGCTCGGGGTGTGGCCCCTTAAGACAACCACCTGCTTCGGTTTGGGCACCCATGCAGTATCACAGCCCTCACACAAATCAAATGAGATTCGTGTGGCGCATATGTATTTGGTGCCTCCTTGTACCAATACCTATGTGTTAAAAAAATAATAATAATACTTCACCAGAGGCTGACATCATTTAGAAACCCATTAATAACAGCTGACAAACAGATAAGCGTTTTGTTCTAGTTTTAGAGGGGATTCATCACTCACAACCCTATACATGATGGAATTCTACTTTTACGCCTCATAACAATGTGTGTCTTTGAATCATTAAGTTGATATTCAATGACATGTTTAAAAATCCAATCAATCTCTCATATAACACTATTCCCTATTGATATTTATGTAGGCTTTTTTCGAATGAATGTTTTTCAAGTATATTTTACATTTAAAAAAAACTATTTGTCTTCCTTTCAGTCGTCTTATGGAGTTCATTATTTCTCAAAAAAACAAATCAAACAATATGATGGCTGAGGAATTATTCGCTAAAGGTGTAAAAACGATCAATTTTTATGATGTCGTCATTGATCTGATGCTTCTAGAAGCCTTTGAATTATTAGCTAATCCACCTAGTTCTGTATTATCTGTCACTAGACATAAATGGTTAAGTGATAATTTTAAACGTTGCGCTCTTGATTCAACTGTTTGGACTATTCTATTGGCTAAACGAAAATTATTAAAATATCCAGATGGGTTTTATGCACATTATTATAGCATGGTTGGTACAGTTTTACCTGCATTAGCTTGGGGTTTTCTTGGACCAAATGAAAATTATTTTCATATTTGTGATCGTTTCCGTGAAATTATTATATCATTTATTCGTGAATCATTTATATGTTATGATGCATCAACGTCATCTACATTGGCAAGAATCTCTTGTTCAAATGGTTTACCATTATATTTCAGTGAACATTCCATAAAACATGATAGATTTGATAAAAGTATTTTCAATAATTATTCACTAGATGAAAACTTGATGAATTCTACCATTGATTCAAATGATAATAATCATGATTATAATAATCGTAACAGTGGTGATGATAATAGCAGTGCGGGTACTACTATATCTGAATCTGGTCCTACAATAGTGTGTCAGTCAGATCAGTTACCACAAACAGTCTCACCGAATACAATTCATCGTCAAATTGGTTTACGTTATACAACTGTAGAAGATTTAGCAAATGATTTATATAAATTAATTGATGTTTATTCTCAAGATTTATTAAACATGTTCATTGACGAACTGAAATTATCTGAAAATACGCTACCATTTGAATTGGAATCGAATCCTGTTCAACCGATATTATGTCGTACAGTTGAATAACAAAAAGTGGATAATTTTCTTAACAGAAATATGTTTTAAATTCCCATTTATTTTTATTGTTTTATTTAAACTCTTCGTACATTGTATGTACATATGCATTTATTAATGTATGATAAACCTTTTTTGTTTCAATATTTATTGTGAATGTCAATTATGAAACATTCCCAAATATAGAAGTAAATTTTTAGTTTTCCTAGAAATAAGTTTTGTTTTTGCTCAAATATGCTTGGAAATGTGCTTTTAAGTATTTCCCCCCCTTTTTTCATGGTTATTATTGATGAGTTACTTAGAATGTATGAGGACGTTTTTGGAATTCATTAACTTCAGTTTTTTTATGAATATGAAAAATTATCTTATTAGTTACTGATAAGACTGATCCAATTTTTCCGAATTTCTATTAGTAGTTCAGAGTACTCTTTCATCTACGGATTTCTTTATCTCATTTGACAAAGGTGATCGTCCTCATACACCGAGCACGCTTAAATCAATAGGTTTTTGTTTTCTTTTTCGTTAAGTGATCTGAGTCCCAGGATGCCCCCGAATGCCCTGGTATGGCAGAGAGTGGGGTGGGTTCGCCCTCCCTCTCGGAATACTTTCCCACGGCCATGCGTATACAGCCTCTGCCACGGAAGTCCTACTCACTGCTTTCTCGTGGCGGGGATGTTGTTTACGAAATTGAGAGGACGAAAAGCGAATGTTCAGAGCTTTAAGTGGATCCCAAACCAATGGTGCACATGGGCTCCAATATCCTGAAGGAACAAATGGCATATGAACCAATCATTGGTCACCGGCTTCCATGGACTGCATCTCCTCACGATGCTCCACTACTTTGTGGGTTAGACCTTAAGGTCGATGGCTCGGGGTGTGGCCTCCTAAGAAAACCACCTGTTTCGGTTTGGGCACCCGTGCAGTATCACAGCCCACACACAAATAAAATGAAAATTTGTGTGGCGCATGTATATGTGGTGCCCTCTTGTACCAATATTTATGTGTTCAAATAATAATAATAAGAGTCCCAGGATGAGATCAATATATTTTTCGGCAAAAGATGTATACCGTGACTATGTATTTATCCACTGATTGGTCTCGTATATTGAAACCTACCAAGTTATTTCAAAATACCAAATCAATTTGATTGTTTATGTTAAAAAAATATTTTTGCTGCTAGATTCCAACTAGTTTATTATTAGTTATTTTGCCTGTTGTGTTTACTCGCTTCCAAGCCACATGTTTTGTGTGGTACCTAGTGAGATTAATCGGCTTTCAGACTGAAGTAAATGTAACGTGTTTTGAACCTGTGACTTAATTGTTAGAAATCAAGTATTATAACCACCAACCCGATGATCTCGTGATTTTCTCATCATTTCTTTTATTAATTTCAATTCAGGATTTAATTCATTGTGGCCCCCCAATTGCCCTGGTACGGCCGAGAGTGGGGAGAGTCCGCTCTCCCTCTCGAAATGCTCTCACATGGCCATGCGTATATAGCCTCTGCCACGGAAGTCCTACTCACTGCCTTCTCGTGGCGGGGGTGTTGTTTACAAAAATGAGAGGACGAAAAGCGAATGTCTGGCGCTTTAACCGGACCCCAAACCAATGGTGCACATGGGCTCCAGTATTCTGCGGGTACAAATGGCGTATGAATCAATCGTTGGTCACCGGCTACCATGGGACTGCATCTCCTCACGATGCTCCACTGCCTTGTGGGTCAGACGTTCAGGTCAAAGGCTCGGGGTGTGGCCCCTTAAGAAAACCACCTACTTCGGTTTGGGCACCCGGGCAGTATCACAGCCCTCACACAAATCAATTGAGATTTGTGTGGCGCATATGTATTTGGTGCCTCCCTGTACCTATACTTATGTGTGTTTAATTCATTGTTCTACTATAAATCACAATGTATAGCATTTTTTTAAATGTTTCGTAGTTTGAAGCAGTTGTCAGTTAATTTAGTTTTATAGCTGTTCCGTAGTCTTGAAGGTTTGTCTATATCACCTAAAAAGCGCTACTCATTTAAGCTTTTCGACATTGTTGGATGGAGTGGTGGTTAAATCATTTGACTTTCATCCGCAATCATAAACTGTGGTGGTTGGGAAACCGATTTACATGTACATATACTTGGTAAATTGGTGGTTACAATTTAGTATTAGGGTTATGCATCTATTCTAGTCACAAACTATCATTCATTCTCTATTCTTCCCATAATCCTTACAGGTTCTTTCTTATTTGTTATCACTAATTATCTTACAGTTTTTTCATGGATGCACCTACTCAAGCTATTCTCTCCGCTTTCTCTATTGTTCTTGGACATGAGATTGGTGATCGACAAGCTGCTGAACAAAGTCTGACTGCATTGGAAGTTCTTGAAGGTCAGTTCAGTTTAATGTTACTATTTTGTTTTGTAACACTTAGCGAATCTTTTTTTAATCACTAATGGTCTGGACTGTAGTTATTTCAAATTACTACTTACAACAATTATGCACTGTCCTTTCACGATACGCTAAGAAAGAGTAGATTTACAGTAATTTACTGCCTAACGTGCTTTGGTGAAACTTGAATTAATGGGCATTTATTGTCAAGTAATGATATAAATCAGTTGACTTCAGTAAAAGTTCACTAATTGTTGATTATTTACTTTTCTGCCTAAAAAGAGTTTTGATTAGCCGACTAGGAAATGATTAGACAGATAACCTGTCTTGAAACCAATTCGTTATCTATGCTAACACGAGTTTCCCCCAAATGCCATGGTACGTCCGAGCTTGAGGAGAGTCCACTCGCCCTTTCGAAATGCTCTCACATAGCCACGCATATACAGCCACCGCCAGGGAAGTCCTACTCACTGCCTTCTCTTGGTAGGTGTGTTGTTTACGAAATTGACAGGATGAAGATCGAATGTCCGGCGCTTTAACCAGGTCGATGGATATAGAGGATCCGCTTAAGGAGTTTAGTGCCTCCTTGTACCAATGTTTGTGTATAAATAAATAAATATAAATACGAGTTAGAGTATGATTTCACCTCTCGTGAATGTGACGATGATAGTTTAAATAGGATAATACGCTTATTCTTGTAATAAGTAGTGTAGGTACTATTGACGGACTTCTTTTGGTTTGCTTTCGTTTCATGTTTAATCTTATAGAGGAAGTTTTAGGATAATCATTTGAAGATATAGCAGTTTATGTACTTAATGAAGGATATTTTGGAGTGAGAAATGATCTATAAAATCAATTTACAAATCACTTAACTTTGACTCTTACCACTACCGGTACCAACAGTTAGTAAACTTGTTCACATTTCTTCCATCCTTGATAAATTCTAAACTCGTAGTAGCTGGAACACGCCGTAAATCGTGTTGGTTCAATTTCAAGTCTCAAGTTCTTTTTTATAGCAAATAATTCACTATTTATTTTTATTTATTTATTTTAACACATAGATATTAGTACAAGGACGCACCAAATACATATGCTCCACACATATCTCATTTGATATGTGTGAGGGCTGTGATACTGCACGGGTGCCCAAACCGAAACAGGTGGTTTTCTTAGGAGGCCACACCCCGAGTCATCGACCTTAAGGTCTGACCCACAAGGCAATGGAGCATCGTGAGGAGATGCAGTCCATGGAAGCCGGTGACCAATGATTGGTTCATATGCCATTTGTTTATTCAGGATACTGGGGCCCATGTGCACCATTGGTTTGGAATCAGGGTTTTCCAACTCCCTTAGGTGGACTCTCCATGTCCACCAACCCGGTTAAAGCGCCGTACATTCGCTTTCCATCCTCTCAATTTCGTAAACAACATCCCCACCATGAGAAGGCAGTGGATAGAACTTCCCTGGCAGAGGCTATATACGTGTGGCCATATGATAGCATTTCGTGAGGGAGGGCGGGCCCACCCCACTCTGCCATACTTGGGCATTTGGGGGCAATAATTCACTCGCTATATACATATATATGCTATGTTTAAAGAGATTAGGTGTTCACCTTGTCTGTGAACGGAATGAAGGCTCAGTGACACAATGACCGAATAAGCTAACTATTCCGATGAGTTCCAGCCTCGCTAACTAGAGAGAGAAGTCTAGGTGCAGAAGAGGGAAATGTATTCCACAAGCAGCCAGAAGTACGATCAATAATGACAAGCACAACTCAAGCGTAAATATATACGTTACAAAATAGCATGTTAAAAGAGACAACGAACCAATAACACTTAAGGTTCTTCCAAGTGGGAAGTATTCCATGAAGGTGAAAATGGGTGCTTTTGGCGCGAAAACAAGAAATTCAAATTTTTAACATAGAATCACAAAAATAAGACATTTGACAGGTGAGTTCTGAGAATCCAACAAACCTGCTTCGGTTTGGGCACCCGGGCAGTATCACAGCCCACACACAAATCAAGTGACTTGTGTGGCGCATATTTATTCGGTGCCCCTTTATACCAATATTTATGTGTTTAAATAAATAAATAACAATATATTACTTAATTACTTACGCTTGCTACCCCTTGTGGAGGAGCATAGGCTGCCCACCAGTGTTCTCCATTGGACTCGGTCTTGAGAAATCCTTTCCAGTTGCTGTTCATCCTTTTCATGTCTGCTTCGAGATCAACGGGTCGGATTCTGTAAGAATTGGACGTGCACAGATCAAATCGCGACATTACGGATCATTGTTAAGCAATCAATTGAATGGAACTCGCCACTGTACATCAACGTCCTTGATTATGAGAAAGCATTCAATAGTGTGGATAGTAGAACACTTTGGAAGTTTCTCCGACACTGTGTACCTGAGAAAATCGTCTACATCATCCGGAATTCATACGACGGACTACATTGCAAGATGGTGCTTGGAGGACAGCTGACAAATGCATTCCAAGTGAGAATTGGTGTCAGACAAGGTTACTTACTCTCTCTTTCTCTTCTGGTGGTTGACTGGATCATGAAGACCTTCATGTCTCAAGGTAAGCACGGAATACAATAGATGCAACTAGACGATTTAAACTTCGCAGATGGTATGACCCTTCTATCCCATATACACGAACAAATGCAGGTAAAGACAACCAGTGTAACAGAAGCCTCTGCAACAGTAGGCCTTAACATACATAAGGGAAGAAGCAAGATTCTCATATACAACACGGAGAACACCAACCCAATCACACTTGATGCAGAAACCCTGGAAGATATGAGATCTTTCACGTTCCTGGACAGTATCTTCGATGAACAAGGAGGATCAGATGCAGACGTAAAGGCGAGGATTGGCAGAACAAAGGCTGCATTCCCACAGTTGAAGAAAATATGGAACTCAAAACAACTGTCAACCAATACCAGAGTCACGATCTTCAACACGAACGTCAAGACAGCGAGTTCTGTTGTACGGAGCTGAAATTTCAAGAATTGCCAAAACCATTATCAAAAAGGTACAAGTATTTGTAAACGATTGTGTGTACAAAATAGTCAATGTCCGTTGAGCGGATACCATGTGCATCAGCCTGCTGTGAAAGAGAACAAACCAGGTTCCAACTGACGATGAAATTAGGAAGAGACACTGGCGATGGATAGGACATACTTTACGGAAATCATCAAACTGAATCACGAAGCAAGCCCTAACTATGAATCCCGAAGGGAAACGAAAAAAGGTTGAAGAACACAATATGTCGGTACTTGGAAGCAGACATAAAAAGGATGAATGGTAACTGGAAAGGATTGTTCAGGTCAGGGTTGGATGAAGAATGATGTTGGGCAGCCTATGTCCCTCCACGAAGGGTAACAGGCGTAGGTAAGTTCCGCCAAACTATTAGCATAATCTCGTTTTATGTTTATATGCATTAGTAACTTGATGATCAAGGAATCTAGAGTAAATACGAAAATATTATTTATAAATCAATTATCAACAAGAATAGGTATTTGTTACTAGCTTAATCCATGTTCTAATTGGTAGTGTTTAATTATTAAATATGTCATACAGATCCGCCCTCCCCCTCAATCATTTAGGATAATAGCATGTTGGCGCTATTTATAGTAGTGGCACTTCCTAATGGACGTGTTACACAAAACTTTATGAAATGCTGGTGCAGGTGTGTTCACTGAACTAGTTGCTTTATCCCTAAAACTTTCATTGGCACTCTCAACAACGTCGTCAGCGCCTGCATCACGTAGAAGTTTGCATTTATTCATTTTTATTATCGTATCTCTGTTCATTTTACAGACTACCCAATCAAAGTGGCGAATATATTTTTAAATGATCAACTTTGTGTTGAATTACGTCAGTTGGCTGGTATTACATTAAAGAATTATATAGCTGTACATTGGAGTGAAACATCTTGTATGTCATTTAAACCACCGGAAACATGTGATAATGTGAGTTGTTAGCATTGTGATCTCTGGTCACTTTTTGCCATGGTTTATTAAAGATGTATTCATGATAATCAATCTCATAGCTTTTTAAAGGTGTTTCCTAACTAACAACCTTATAGTAACGTTTACAACTAGCGTAAATGAAGGCTTTTTAAATTTCAGAAAGACTATTAATTTTTTCAATAGTTGAAATCATGAGTCGATTGAAGCTAGACCACCATGGAAAACCTGGAAGCACTGGACAGCCGTTTCGTCCTACTATGGGACTCCTCAGCAGTGCGCATCTCGTGGAGAGCGGGATCGTGGATGCGCACTGGTAAAGAGTCCCACAGTAGGACGAAACGGCTGTCCAGTGCTTCCAGGTTTTCCATGGTGGTCTAGCTTCAATCGACTCATGATTTCAACTGTTGAAATTACTAAAATCTCCACAAAACTTTTATACTTTTTTGTTTTATTAAAGGCAAAATCCCTTATTCGATCCGGAATGTTACAGTTGTTAACTTCACCTCATCGATCGATTCGTGTGACAGCTGCCCATACAATCACTTTGATCGCTCAACATGATTGGCCAGAAGTGTGGCCAGATTTATTTAATCAACTTATTACATTAATTCGACAATCATGCATGAATAATAATAATGATATCGATAAGAATACAGTGCATGGAGTTTTACGTGTACTAACTGGTAAGTGATTATAACGGAGAATATTCTGTTTTTGTGAAGATTTGTTGATTAAGGGAGTTTTTATTACCAACTATCGAATTACCTGTAAAATACTGGACAGTCGCTCTATTTTTTAATCAGAAACTTTTCAATAGTAAGCATACAAGCAATCCCAAATGGATTAAAACGACAATTTTTGAGCTTACTAGGGAATGTACAGTACTTATGCTAAAACCCCTTTTCACACATTTGTGTAGAAATGGTTTCCCTTAAAATCACACGCTACTTACAAGTAGGTACATTGCACAGGGGATATAATATTACATGACTGTCTAATTATCCTCCATAAAAGCTTATATACATCTTATTTTGAAGCCAGCTTCCAGCCATCGTCTCAGGTTCAGACCACGCTCCACCTACTTCTGTTTGGGCTACTATGTGGTACTATTTACCCTCACACTTAGAGTATGGCTCATATATAAGTACCTGGGGAATTGGTTAATTAAAGGTTTCTTTTAAGTATCGGAGTCCCCACCAGTGCTTTAACGACCCCTGAGTTGTCATTTAATGGTTTACACTTATAACTTCAATCATTTCGAGATATTGCGCAACCATCTAGTGCAATTCGTGGTTAACTGCCTTATATTCTACATGGTTGGACTCCTGGTTGCGACTTCTCACTAGAACTGTGAATATTACCTCTCAAAATTATGTACGAGTAAGCACATGATTCGGTTTGTTAAACAATTTACTCTTACTATTATAGAAGTAATGTAAAAATACCGAACTAAATTTAAGTTTGAGTTGATCAACTTCATTTGTGAGGTTGTCCTGGTCATATATTCAGATTTTGACATCAACGTTTTTCGTGTTTAAAGTTCTAATTTATGCACTTTCAAAGTCTTAACATTTAATTGACTACCTCAAGTCATTTTTAATGAAACTGAACAACACTGAATTTTGTTTTTCGGTTTAAACTTACAGAAGTTAGTTCTGATCTATCTGACCTTGACTTGCCTGTAGTTGGTCCATTTATTATGCCTGAACTATTGCGAATATATTCAGATAAACAGGTAATTTGATTTTTGAGAATTAAAGTACTTAGCATATCCTTCTTATATAGCGTCTTAGTTTACCCAAATAAATAGTTATCTTATAGATTTCTAACTGCTTTTTAGTTAGAAGTCTGTTTTAAATTAAAAATAACTCCTGGAAAAATCAAGTGTTCGGATTGTTTGTAATAATGGTCATAAATCCAATAGTACTTCAAGTCACTCCACCAGATTTCCAACCATTTACACCGTTTTAGTAATAATACACATGGCAATGAAGAATGACTCAAAAAATCTCATGTGTTTGGTAACATTGGAGACGATAATTTCTAGAATCAATCTCGTCGAATCTGGTGGGCTGCTTGGTTATATCAGTCAGTCAGTAACAACGTGAAACTTCGTACGTACGTACATCAGTTCGAGTTGCCATACCACATTAATACAGAGATTCAGTTATCGATTCAAATCCCGTAGTGGTAGAGGTAGTGAAAGTATAAATAGTAATAGGAAACATTAGGGTTATTTAAAGAGTATAATCCAGTGGAATTAATTTGGAAAGAAAACCAAGGTTATATAGATAATCTAGTTCGCTGTCATTAAACTAAATATTAGACAAATGTGCTTCTACTCAAGTCTTGACACTATATTACTACAGCGAGATGAAATTGCTGAGATAAATATCAGTGTAGTAGAAGTCGTACTTTATAAGTGTAATAGTGCTAGGGATAGTTTTTGTCGTTTGCCCCTATCAATTATCACGTGACGAAGTCGCCAATTAGAATACCGACTTATATGACCTTGTTCCTGTGCTAAACCAGTGCGACGTCAATCAGCACTAACAGCTTTGATTCAACTGTGAATCCTTATTGGTCCTCAAAAGAGTAACTTCTCGCCTAGCCCTGCCCCTTGAGTCCAGAGCATAGTTCTAGCCTTCATTGTATGAATATTATACTTCAGACGCACGTAGTGTGTATACCAACAGACTAGACTGCATCAAACCGTAAAGTGGAAAATAATAATTATAAAAGATCAAGTCAAAGGTGGCTGTTACTGTGACAGACTAACTAATAGATTTGACATAACTTGAGGAAAACAAATCGTATAATACTAGTCAGTAGGTCGAAGGAAAGCTTACGATAAAAGAAATATAAATAATCTAGCTATTTAGTAGTTATACAATAAGAATATATATAATGATAGTCTACGAATAGTTGCCAGAAGTTATCCATAATTTAATCTTCAGATACAACAAGAGTAAAATTATTTAGGCAGAAAATATTATCTTAGAACAACAGATAAATTCAATCTCTCAGTCGTTCAGAACATAGACCTGGCACATATGTATTTCGGTTCACGTCATGATCCCGAGAGTCGATATTCCTTGGGGGATTCGAACTCTCATCGTTCAACTTCCCAGTGAGATGTTCAGGCCGCGACTGACTCTTTGAAGTACCAAGATATGTCAGTGCTAACATTGTAGGCTGCGTAGCTGGATAATATGGGTTGTAATCCTGCGAGGAATACCTACAACTACTTTATATCTACTCGTATTATGCAATTGTCCGTCTTAAAATACTTTCGCTGAATTTATTTTTAATCATACCTTTGGCTTATCCTTTTTTTCTAGAATTATGATCAGTCTACACGGCGGCGTGCTGTTATCACAATTGATAACCTCTTAAATATTGCTGTTATGTGTCAAAATGAGGTAGGTAGCAATTGATTTCTATTTAAAGAAATATGTATATACTGTTGTCTTTCGTTGAAATTTCCGTGAGATAAACATTATGAAGTTTACTGTTTGAAATCATGAATCCATTGAAGCTAGACCACCATGGAAAACCTGGAAGCACTGGTTAAGCGCCTGGCGCGAGACTGATAGGTCCTGGGTTCGAATCTCTCGAGGAGCGGGATCGTGGATGCGCACTGCTGAGGAGTCCCATACTAGGACGAAACGGCCGTCCAGTGCTTCCAAGTTTTCCATGGTGGTCTAGCTTCAATGGATTCATGATTTAAACCAGTGAAATTTCTAAAAATCTCCACACAAACCCTTCTGATTATGAAGTTTAGTTGATAAAATAAATTTTGAACGGAGCATATTGAACATAAGTGATCTAGTGAAGGATTATAGATTGTGATGTGTACTATTATTCCTTCAGGATATTGGAGCCCATGTGCACCATTGTTTTGAGATCCGGTTAAAGCGCCGAACATTCGCTTTTCGTCCTCTAATTTTCGTAAACAACAGTAATGGGACGAGAAGGCAGTGAGTAGGACTTCCGTGGCAGAGGCTATATACGCGTGGCCATGTGAGAGTATTTCGAGAGGGAGAGCGGACTCTCCCCACTCTCGGCCGTACCAGGGCATTTGGGGGGCTACTATCATTCATTTAACAGAAATTGGTAAAATAGTTTTTGTTGTTGAAAATATTCTTTCTTTGATTTATTTGTTTTCTTTTTTTTTGTAATGCACTTCCGTTAAGGATATTTTAAATGACTTTGTTAATCGTTATATTTGTCCATCATTGGGAGCAATTATTAGTGATCTAACTACTTATGATGAAAACTCAACAATATCGCAAGTAACACATAAAGGTGAACTTATACAAGTAAGAAACTTCTAGCTTCTTTTGTTTATTCTACATGCTTCAATTTTAACTCTCTTTTTAGCCACTATACATTATTCTATAAAATAATGGGGGAAATTTGTAGCTTATATGAATACTTTTTTCTGGCGTTGGGTTTTCCGAGCTAGATGGTTTAGTTTTGATGCTTTGATTGTCATTCGAGACATCTTGAACATCTATTTCATGTGGAAGTGAGCTTTTTAGTTATTCCACGAAATGTTATATCGGTTCATTCCGACGGCCTTGTTTGTAATTGGCTGTCTTCGTGGGTTTTGCTATGTCAATTTCTCTTTGGATTCACGTTGAATATCTTTGTTATCTGATCTCTGGCCTTGTGATTGGTTGACCTCTTCCGTGTGGGTTTATACATTAGGATTCTTAAAGTTTCTCCGATTAAAAATTTCAGACGTTTCTCCAAACGAAACCATATGAATAGTTGTCTGCCTACATTGATGTCGGTGATAACACATCATGTCGCCTCACCACTGATCTATGCTGCTTTATACGTAGTGGAATGGGGCGCCTATTTTGTTCAGTGTGATATTTCTCTCTAGTCAAATCATTTAGCTCGAAGAACTCAACATCAAAAATATCATTCTATAGTTTACATCACCGACTGACGATATATAGATCATCACTGAAAACCAGGAATCGCTGAATAGCTATTTTATTCCAATGGTAGGCCACTTGATATACTAACGCTGATCAGCTCATGTAACTCATTTTTTCCTTCAGTTTGGCCAATGGGAACACGAAAAAAGGTAACTGATTTACTTTATATTATTAAACAGCAATTACAAGATATAAAAACACCATAAATGAGAAATCACAATCTGTTTATAACTAGGTTGTTTGTGGTACAAGTGCATAATTAATAAACCACGATTTATAGATGGTACAAAGTGTATCAACAGTTAAGGAGTCAAATAGAAACTTACAGATAAGGTAATACAAAAGTATCATAATCCAAGTATGATGTTGCAATAATTAACATTTCTTTCATCAACCATTAAAAAGTCATATTTTAAAAATCATATTTAACGTTATTCTTGAACAAAATGTATAAAGTCAGTTAACTCACTCATTTTATTGCCATTTATTCAGCTTTTAATTACACTTTGCGTTGAAAATCGTAAATTTTTCTCAAATTTTCCTGGTTATAATATATCACAAATGATTAATATAGTGTTGAATTTGGTTATATCCTGTGTTAAACAATATACTGAATTGCAAATTGCTTCAAACTCTTCAAATGAAAAAGAAGAAGAATATGATTCTGATGGTAGGTTTCTCTTTATTAAAGCAAAACAAACTTATATATTATTTCTAGACGTCTGAGCTATACTGTTGTTTGTATTCAAGACTGAGTTTTAATTAGGCTACATTGATATATGTGATTTCTGCTTGGATTGTCCCCATATAGCCATTTTTAATGAGATTTTTAAATAGATAGATTACGGCCTTCACTGAAGTTTAAGATACACGTTTCTTTGTATCTAGAACTTATCAGGTGTATGTACCTGTATCTGAGTGTTGATATCCATATTGGCACATGAAGGTTTGAGCCCATCGTTTTTTCCCGTTTTATATTCTGCTAGTTATGTACATGACACTATAGTATTAGGCAATTGACCTTATTTTGCTTCCTTTGTTTTCCTATCGTATAACTCTTTTCGGTTAGACTAAACTATAGCACCGATTTCGAAATGCTTCGTAGTCCATGGGAAACAGCGTTTATTGGTACCCAACTCTGGAAATATGTAAGGTTAAACAACATAAGTGTGTTTACGATTTTAAATCTTTTAAAAATTGAATAAATTCAGGTCTTAACTAAGCTTTACATAAGGTATCAGTTAACTATCATAACGTTTTCAATTTGGCACAGTAACTCCCCTGTATTTGATTAGTTCGGTGTTGGTGTTACCCGGATTTGTGTCAATTTTTCAATCTTTTTGATAAGTTTAGTTTTCTTAGGAAGATAGCAATCCCTAATCAATTTAATCCATTTTGAAATGGTTTGGATTATCCTCTTGTTGATATTTTGGTGGTGTATTTTGTTAGCGTATAGACATCCTGGGCGGATTGCCTCAACACTAACGATTATGACACAAGACGAAATGTGGTTAGCAGTGGAATTCGGAAAGTGCGTTTCGTTCTACTTAAGACTAGATGTACCTGTTCGCCACATTCCACCTAAATATAATGAGCCAACCAGAAGTAGCTAGATGAGAAGGTTACTTGATAGCAACCAGAAATGACCTGAAGGACAACTACACATCATGAATGAATTGGTTTTCTAAGAAGTAGAAATTAATATATAAAAATGAGTATTTAGGCATATTTTCGGTAGCCCGGTAGATTTTCTCTTCCACTTATCTTCTCGCTCAAGTAGTCAGTTTGGGGGTTAACGCATAGCACCTTGTTTATCAGTATCAGATCTATTGTTTATCGGTTTGTTTGCTACTGTAGTCTTGTATACATTGTATTTAACTATATGTTCTGGTTGATAATCAGTATTACATATACATAAAAGTAAGACAGTTGGTATGCGTGCATGATTTGATATACTCTTGATTCTATTCATCTAAACAGAAAACGGCAAATATGAATAAATTAATCATAATACAAAATAAAATTTACAATGGTTATGTTATTTTTATGTCATTAATGAATTGTTCAAAATTTCCCTTAGGTGCTTCTGTTTTAAATTTAAGATTAGGGTGTGTATAGATAAATCGTAAAATATCATTTCAATCCTAATCCTATAGCTTAACTCTTACTTTAAACTTTAAATCTTAACCTTAATGTGTTCATTATGTTGTTGTCAATAAATTTATTCATCTGCTTTCGATAGGCAACATTCTACTTTAAAACATTCATCGTGACCTTTTAGGAACTTACTTGTTTCTCATCGGCTTAAGGTTTTCTTTAAATGTGTTATTTATAATGTAATTGATTCAATATAACTTTTAACGGTTTGATCTATTTTCTTGTGTTTATTCAATTAAAGGTGAAATATTGGATTACGATACATTTGTTTATAGTATTTTACAATGTTTAACTAGTCTTGTTTCATCGAAATCCAGAAAATCTATGATAAAGTATCTTGATGAATTATGCTGTCAATTATGTCAACTTGTTCAACTACCAGAAAAAACAGTAAGTTGTTGACACAATTATTGAGTCTTTTAACATCCAAATGTTTATGATGTGGTTTCCTAGTTATAGTAATTTATCGTGAAATAAACTTGCTTATAAAATAATCATGCAGTTGGTATTATGTTATCATATAAATAGTTAGTTGAGTTATAGAAAATGCAACTTTTTTCATCGACTTTTCAAATACACTATAGCTGATATATTGACTAACATCTTTGTAGAATTACCGTTCTTATTTCCTGTCATTGTGTGGTGTACTTTGCTGATGTCGACAGATATAAGTTGTATGTATCACCAATCGAAAGTGGGATGACTGGCTGCAGAAGGTTGAGAAAATCGAAGAGAAGAGAAAAACAGCAGAGAGTGATTGGTATGGAAATGAAGGAACGACAGAGTCTAAGACAATCGATGGATATTTTGCGAATGATGTTTTACCATATGGTTCTCGGATTTTACCAACATATTCTGTAATGTTGTGTTAAAATACATTTGATTGTCACTACTTAAGTTTTCGTTCATTACAATTGTATTCTGTGATACGTCAACCTCATATGAGACTAAATTTGATTGGCTAATTCATATTATGGGTTAGACAAAGTAAATACCACTGAAATTTAAAATTTAGGTTTTTTAAGAATTTATAAATTCGTATTTCAGTGAATCATAACATCCTCATCATCACTTGAATTAACACATGTCGATCTAATAGACCGTATTCCATTAACAGTATTACTAGCAGTTGAATCCAGGAAGTGCCTTTTGTTCTGTTCAGAGCTCGTTGGCTGAAAGTGCCACGTTCCCAATACTGATGCTCACAGGAAATGGAATTCACTACCAATATTTCATCAAAAACTGACTAGGTCTTTCGTGAATATCAACAGCGAGGAAACACAATCCTTCACAACTAATAATTCTCATAACTGTTATTATCATTATTTGTTTTCTTAAACAATTTACAAACAATGTTGAAATTCCAAGCTTAATTTTAGGCTACAGCGTTGCTCGCAACCATAATTGATACCTTTCTTTGCGATCACAAGTCGGCTTTCTTCATTCACTTTCTCAAAGTATTTCCCCTCAACGCTCATCTTTTTGCTAAAATTGATTCACATATTTCTAGAGAATTCCATCACAATGAACCTGTCGTTAGATTTGTCGAAACTGCGCTGACGAGGTCGAATATAGTCAAAAGACCGTCATGACTTTTCGGAATATTTATACATTTAAAAAAATACAAATAAAAAGCATTTATACAGCAAATAGTAATTAGTTTATTTTAAACTCACATTCAAGATAATTAACTCAACAACTACAGTCAAATCCCAACTCAGGTACAATCATGACTAATTCAATATGGCCTAGCAGTTAGAAAATTTATCAACTATTGAGAAAAAAATGTTTATGTTTTATCCCGACGAGAATAATAAATGGTGACTGTTGGGATCTATTTATGGACTAACACTTACATTCCTTTTATTTGACCTGTTGGTTATTGTTATGTGATTTACTATTAGTCACAGTTTCTCACAATTACAACTACTTTTGTCTTGATCTTCTACAAATGTTACTTTTTATTTTATGATGCGATGTGGTCTGTTTGGCTTGTATGTAAACTACGTATGTTTGAAATCTATGATTCGTGTCATGGAGGCTGAGATTGACGTTCTCGACTTGACAGACGGGGTTAGGACCAATCGGAACTTTAGGCTGCTCGTGCTGGTCTATGTGTCGTTTGCTTGATCGTAAAAGTCAATGTATCTAAATTGGCAATCGTATTTCGCGATAGTGGTAAAAGCATAAGGACATAACAGTTTACGTTTTGTTTAACCATTAAAATACAAGAAATGGAATAGATTCTAGTTACTTATGAGTAGCATAGTTACAATACACAAATTCTACGCTGGTTTCATCAGCACATTTTTGGATCGAGAATTTTTACCAGTTGGTTTGATCCTATATGAACATTCTAAATAATTTCTTTCTTTCCTTTGTGTAATATTAAAGCTGGAAATTTGGTCCAATAGTATCTCTGAATATGTCGTTGATTCTGAAGAATTTCTTGGTTATTCCGTTCGTTTAGTTACTATGGATTTAATTAAGGTTAGTTCAATGAATATAATCCAACAATACCATCAGTTAGTTAAGATATGGGACTTTGTTTTATTCCTGCTTTGTTGATTTAAACATAAATGGACATTTTATTTGTCTATTAGTTTTCATCATTTTCTGTTTTATCACAGTAGATTTTGTCAGTAAGAGTATGATATATATAGATAAATGTAAAAGAATCGCGGCGAATTTTCAACTAGTTTTTAAATAATCAGACAACAGTCTATCTAAATGGTTGGTTTATGAAAAGAGGAACGTTAATATTTCAAAGTGTAAACATTTTACGTATATAGTAAATTTATTAAAATCTTGTACAAGTTACCCCTCGTGTTAATTAGAAGAAAAAAATAATGATATATCAATTCAACATAGTTTATCCATCTTTTTCAACCCGTTTAAGAACACAGGCAGATTCTTAACAATTCTCATGTTGTTTCTGGTCAGTGTTAGATGTTTAGAGTTAGTGCTGACATTAATCATGATATGAAATGCTTTGTAGTCATAGTTACGAATAAGTTTCGCTCAAAAATCCATAAGGGTGCCTAATATCTGATTAGTTCATCCATAAAAAACAGTGAAGCTGTGAAAACATGATCTTGACAACATTCCCGTGATGACATATTATATTATCATTACAAAGTTTTATTAATAAGGATTGCAATTGAGATTCTTGTAATACGGACGAAATTTATTGCAAACTTTAGTGGTAAGGCGGTTGGCAGTCAGTATTTGAATAATAATCGGGAAAAAACCTGGGGAGAAGATAGGAATACAGACGAAGCTTGGTATCCAACGAAGACCAAAGTAGTACAACTGGGATTATGTTGGTAAAACAGTTTCTCATTCAAATATAGTGCTTAATAACCCATAGAATTCAAACGATATACTTATGTACCATATAATGATTATCTGATGCCTTGTAATATGCACTTTTCGCAAGTATACTCATTACCGTGCAAAGTGGCTATATTTTTTATCACTATTGTGAATTATACTACTTTTAAATGTTAGTAGTTACAAACACTACATCGTAAATGGTGTTTCTCAATGTTTACTTTTTACTGATAGAAAATTGCAAGTAAAGTTCACAATGGAGCTCAATTTATCAATTGTGCAATTAATAAAATGTTAATACTTTCAGAAAGTCTACACAACGAAGGTGTTGGTTATTGGTAAGTGGTATGATTTGTTCCTAATTTTTGTACAAAATTTCTTGTCATATTTCATTGGAGTCGGTGTATATTTTTCAGATGTTTAAAAACAAGTATTTTTAAGGTGGGTTCGTTTTAATTTTGCCGGCAATTTGATTTCAACTTACATTGTCCGTGCTTTTCAATATTTGATAATCTAATAATATAGTTTCGTCAAAAGTTACTAACCCTCATATCAATATTCTCTAAACAACAGATTATTTCGAGTATTTAAGAATTTATGGATCGTTGAATACTCAACACTTTATACCTTCATTTAAAATAAGATCTTGAATAACGTAATTTAGTGTGATGAAGTTTGAACACGTGTAATAATTACTATTTTTCGTGTTCTGGAAATCCTTAGTTGTATGATCCCCTCAATTTATGTACTAGTTTAGAGTTAAGGCTTCGCTGTTTCCAATCCTTCTTATAATATAGAAGTAAGCACTCAAAATATTCTATTTGAATGGTTTCTAGTGTCATATAAATTTGCTTTAACCTGAAAGTAGTGTATTTTCACAGCATTTCTTATCGTCATATGAAATCAATATGGTTAGGAGCTGCTAGGATGACCTAAAATTTTACAGTTTTTTTTAACAAGCAGCATTTTCAGTGCATAATGAAGTGTGTGATCGTCTTGTTTCTTATCTGATCGGTCATGTTTTTATTTAGTATTTTTGTCATACTCCAGGGTCGTAGTGGTTACTATGCTAACGGAGTTTTCCTACTATCTTTTGACGTGTTTAAACTTCAGACGTTGTATTGCTTTTCTAAATTCTGCCATGATCTTTCGAAGGAAATATTGTTCTAGCAATCTGTATTAGTCATCCATTCACTCATGTTCCCACAGATTCTGTTCGTATTATAATCTCCCGATTGTTTGTGATTCAGAATTACTGAATCAGTACAGTTAATATTTTCCTATGGTTTACTCTACTTTACTCACAATCAGTGTTTTATTTTATATTATTGGTTATTCTACAACCTGAAATACTATTTAATATTTTTAATGTTAAATTAACCTTTCTACCTTTAATAATATATAAGTATTTACTGAGTATCTGTCATTCTCCAGAAAGACCTATGTAATTTCGAACACATGATAATTTTTAAGTTTCAATAAAAGTTATGATAGATCGAATCTACACAGACTTAACTTTTTGTGTTGTTCCTTGTTGTTTCACTGAAGTGGATCTTTCCTAAAAATGATCTCTTTTCATAGCTAATGTCATGCAGTGATTCTAGTTTTAAAAAATCTTTGAATGTTACGAAGTAATGGACAGCTATTTTATCATAGTATAGAGATTCCTTAATGACAATAATCATCCACAAACCTATCGGGGGTTGAACCCAAGACCTCTCTTTAGATTTTTGGTTACTAAAAATTCTTCACTGTTTTTTTTTTAAATTTTTGTTTTCTTCTGCAGGTGGAAATTACTTGAAGCCTGTCTTTACATCAGTGGTAATTTAGCTTCAAATTCTATCAATATATTCAGTCATAACAATAGATCAATCCATCAAACCTTAAACAATACGTCCAATTCATGTTTCATTGAATTCGATGTATTTTATACACATTATTTAAAACCAAGTTTAGGACAAAATGGTTAGTACTTCATATATACAGTTATCTTATGAACTATTAATATCATATATTGTTCTTTCATAAAAATATTTTACAAGTCCATTATATTTTTTAACATCTACTTCAAATATTCTCAGAATTAGTTAGATATGAATAATGGTTGGAAATCTGATAATCAACATATGCTCACTAGTGACTGACTTCAAGATGCATATACTGGAGTTCTAGTGAGAAGTAGTGACCAGTGGAGTTCAACCAGGTCTGTTGTGAGATAGTAACTTACTGATGACAATGGTGGATGTGTCGCTCAATTTCGTGGATTAGTTGGAGTTAAACTTTAAGACCGTTAGATGCCGTTCGGATCAGTGGTCTAGATGTCAAGCGTTCGCGTGCGAGACTGATAGGTCCTGGATTCGGATCCCGAAAGGCGGGGTCGTCGATGCGCACTGTTGAGGAGTCCCACAATAGGACGAACCGGCCGTCAAGTGCTTTCAGGTTTTCCATGGTGGTCTGGCTTCAACTGACTCATGATCTTAACCATTGAAATTAAATATTTATGAAACCTACCATTCATTGTTGGATATATTGGATGGTTGAAGGTGGTCAATTAAAACCTTTGCTTAACTTTGTTTTTTATGCAAATTACCACTCCTGAGCAAGGTTTAGTGTACTTATAACCTGTAATATATGAACCTAAGTATATTGCAAAACTAAAATGTTATTGTTTAAGTTGTAAGCAGGTTGTATCAAAGAATGATTTCATTATTATCCAACTATAATATGAAAATCAGTTGTCTTGTTATCGTTTTAAAGAAAATCGTCTCAGTAAATTCATAGTTGTTAGGCATTATTTACTTAACTCATAGTTTATTATAGACCGTATATATGTTGATTGATGGATGTGATCGCTTTTTGTCAACAATGTTTTAGTATTCTGCTGATTCACACTTTCTTTGTTGATGATTGAATTGAAAACGGTGTTTTTTATTTTTCGCAATGTTCAAATCTGTTGTCTTCCTACATTCATAACTATCTGTTTATTCATATTATAATAGATTTTTATTTTTAAAAGAATTTTAAACTTGCGAATTATTTTGCTTATTTGTTGTACAGACATCTGATATTAAGATAATACTAAGATACTTTATCGTATACTCTTCCTCTCTCTCTCTCTCTGTCTTCTGGTTAGACAGTTTGAAGTAACTTTTGGTAAATGCATTGATATATATTTTTATATCTAGATCTTATATTCTTGATATATCGCGTATAACTTGAGCACTAGAACGCTAGAACCCTTCCAAGTTGCAATGAGAAGACAGAAGACTAGTGAAAGGAATGTTATTCTAGAGAGTGTCGACAAACTTAATCGAAAATCCACTCATTTATACATTGATTGTACACCCATTTTGATTAATAATTAAAATGAAATCACATACTGAGCATAGTTCATTTCGATGGAATACAAGAATAACGTATATTATACGGGATAAAATATCATACGAGAAAACAAAACCCAATACTACACTGAATAATCATTACATTGAATCAGAAAGGAAGTAATGCTGACCAAAAATCAATAATACGTAAATCAATCGAGTTTTGACTTTTCTTTCCATCATATCATATATATGCTAGATTAATAGTTTGTTTCATAAAGATATTCAATTCCGATTGCTACTTTCTATTAAATCAACAACATACCGTTTAATTTACTCTAGTTAACCTGTATTAACTTGTCAACAATCAATTGTGAATAAATATTTGCTTGTTTTCTTTTATTATTTTGTTTTATAAATAATAAAATCAAAGATTGTTATTTATATCGATTAGTTTTATTTGCGGTAAATATCATATTTTAAAACAATTAATCTGACTAATTAATGTCATACAACCGACTAATTCAACTTATTTTTTAAGATTATTAATCACGTTCCTTTTATTCACTTGTTACTAGGATTATCTTTTTCAAGTTATTTAAAAAACAAAAAGTCACCTTTTAACTTTAATAATAAAAACTATTTTTACTTAATTTTCTTGTTCAGGAAATATTGTTTTATTTATACATTCTCAGTTGAAATGATATGCATGCATTGTTTACATTCTTTAATATATATATATATATAATTTTAAAGAATATTGTGTTATTTTATGATTAAAATTGTTCCTTCTTTTCTTCTACTTTGATTTTATAGATTTTCCATTTCTCCAAGCAACAGCACTTCGTTGTATGTCTCATTTGTATGAAGCTAATATTCTTAATGAATCTCAAGCACAATGGTAAGCGTCTATATCATTGATAATACACACTCACAACTGTTTTATCCATTATTAAATTCAGTAGTCTACAGTATGGATATGTTGTTTTATTCTTCATTTTTATGAAAACCATAGGAAACGTTTTTTTTTAAATAGAAAAAGTGATCTTCCATAAGTTTTGTTAATTTGTTTTTAAATAATTATTATTATAAATAATGGATCAATAATGCTTGTTACTGTTGTAGATTCAAAATTTTATATATTGCCTGCTTGGTGTAAGGTCACTTGATTATAAGATCCCTTTTTTACTTGTTCAAACTAATTACCTTTCTCTTTGTTCCAGTAACATAATGACCATGAACGGTGACCGATATCCCATTGATCTATGCTTCTCATTTTATCCACTCTGGCTAATAAAAAAGGCAAATCTAGCGGACAGGATTACTTACGACTACATAGTAAAATTTATAGTACTTCTCGATTGAATAGTTCTATCTCACAATTATTCGCTCCGATTTTACAAATACACTTTGTAGTCGATTGGTAGTTTTCAATTTTAATTCAATTCTACTAACATGTAAATAATAAATGTTGGTAGTATTTTGAAGCTGTGTATTTAGTTCAATCGTCAATTTCTTTAGCGTATACTTTAAAAATATCAGCAGAAACACCTACATATAATTATAGTGGACGCTACTCACTAGGATGTTTGTAAGTAATGTGAAGCAGAACATGACGTTAAGGCTGCAACGATTGTCGGACAGAATGAGGACTCTCAGTGCATCAAAGCATGGTGTTATCAGAGCACTTAGAATCCAATCGCGAAGACTGTTCATATGGCAGAACACACCGAGAAATGCTAATGGATGGTTGAAGGCTATGTATATGTATAAGTGAACACATTGTAACATCTTGCGATAAATATACATTCCTATTGCCTATTGTTGTGTTTCACATAATTACTTTTTTTCACGTTTTCATTTCATTTCACAATTCGAAACATAAGTGTAAAGAAATTAAGATTTTATGCTTTAATGAACAAATTCTCAATTGTTCAAATAAATTATTATAAATCGATAAATAAAATGCAACGATATGTTGTATGGCTAAATGAACAAAAATGTTTGTTTACAACACCATCTTATTGATGTGTAAATGCATAGCATCTTCTCTCTCCCAGCTAAAATTAAACGCAAAAATAAGACAATTACCTGGTAAAATAAGATTTTATTGCTAACAAAATATGAATATAAAAATTGTTATCATTAAATAGTGCTGGCAATTTCAAAAGGGTCAATGGTTTTAAGTCTCCATGTTACCCCTCCAACCCACACACAAATCAAGTGACTTATGTGGCGCATATGTATCCGGTGCCCCTTTGTACCAATATTTATGTGTTCAAAATAAATAAATACACCGATCATGAAATAATGTAACATCTAGCTATACACCAACATTGATAAAACTATGATATTTTGTTTGAATTATTTCATGTATTTTACTATATATATTGGAGCTTTTTTATTTTCTGTCTATTTTTGTTTAATTCCTGCGGCTCTCGACTATTGGAATTAAACTTGGAACATTCTTTTATCATTGTTCAACAGCTAATTAAGGCGTCATATGAATTAGATATGTAATTCAGTTGATATTTCTTTTTTGAATGTTGTCTAGATTTTATACGTCATCACGACGTTACTATTTTTTCTTACACTTTGACTTGTTAACTATCCAAATATATTTATAGCTTGGTGTCAATGTTTGTTAATATTGTCGGTCTTAATTTAGTAATGGAATTTTCTTAAAGCTCTTAACTCTTGGTATTCTAGTCACAGATCAAATAAGGTTTTACTTATTTGACGAATTTTTCCAATGTGTTTGTTGTATTTATAAACTTAAAAAAATAGACAGGAATTCATGACTCCTACCAGGTATTACAGTATTCAGCATAACGTTTCTTCGTCAGCCGACTTTTTCTATGTACTATCTGTGATTTTGAGTGATGTGACCGGGTCTATTATACTCTATTAAGAACGGATTCGTGCTAATAAAACGGACAATTTAACAACAAATACCTTGGAATAGCTCTAGAACATTGTACTTTTGTGGGCTATGAAATATAAAAAAATAATAGCTAGTCCGTAATTGTGAATAACTAATATTTGGGAAAATAACCACTTTATATGCATTTTTAAATCACATTGAAAAGAAGTGGAATTATTTTGCTGATTTGTTTATTGATATGGTCTGTTGTTTAATTAAATTACTCCGACCACATAGCAGTATCAATCAAACTCTGGTACAGGAGAACCGTTAATTCATCTACTTTTTGTCTGTGAGCTCTATATTTTTATAAGCATTTTGAAACTTGATAGAGTTTATAAACTATATAAAGCAGTGGTTTGGTAATTACAATGTCCTACTTTCAACCACTAAGTCACAGTTTCAAGTCCTGCTCAACTTCAGTTTGTGAGTGATCATGTAGTATCGCCAGTTCTCACGCATAAACTATGTTGCTCAAAGTAGAGTACACTGATCTGTACTTGCTAAATGATTTGAATTATATCATATTTTTCCAAATCAGGTTTATTTCAGTTCTCGATTTTTCATTAAATTTACATTTATTTATTTTTAGCTTTCCAAGTCTACTTTCGAACGCAATGTCTGCTACACAATCGTCGATATTGAAAATTTCTGCTATGCATTCACTTGACACTCTTCGTGCAAATGAAAACAACATAAAGAAGCAAATGGAGAACAACACATCAACGTTTGTCGCATCGTCATCTGTATTTATTACAAATTATATCGTACCGCATTTGCCTAATTTAATATCGAATTTATTGGAATGTTTATCGACTTTCGGTGAACCGGTTTTAGATGTTGGTCTATGTGGATTATATAAATTGTTATGTGTTGATTTACATCAATTTACTCAATCGATTATTACACAAATAATCCCTATTATGGTAGGATTATTTAAGCACTGTTTCGGTGGTAAGGTTTCTCTTGTGTTTTCCCCTTTTCAAATAGTGCGTGTTATGCTTCTTAATATCCTTCGAGACGTTAGTCGATGTCACGTGCTAAATTCTCCAATAAGTATTCATATTATAAAATTCTCACTTCGCATCTAGTATTTCGATCAAAACCTCAAGTCCTTAGCTCTGAGTGGTGATAATTTCTTGCTACCACGATTGACCTTGAGCTAGTATAATCTACACTCTTATTGATTGCCTATTCATATATCGTTCTTTATCCTCAGTTTTGAGTTCGAAGAGAAATCTAGAATCATGTTTCTATTATTATTATTATTATTATATTTCAATCACCCAACTAGTACAGCACAATATCACTCTCTAACACTCATTAGATTCTTATACACGAATTATTAAACTACACAGCACAACAAATAATAATCATAGTTTAAACACAATCATGCCATAAATGGCTGAAAACAAAGCAAACAGTATGTAATTATTTAGAAATAATTAAGTAATCGTATCACGTATAACACTAGTTGATAGGTTCACTGAAAGCTTACAATGAATTAAATGTAGAAAAACAATGATATAGTTATCTGCTGACTGCACAGTAAAAATATAAATGATATAAAGAATAGTTCGAAAATTTCTAACGTTTTTAGTACTTATTCCGCTACAACATTTTTACTTTTTCTAAACACTTCGACTTCTCATATTTCGGATTGGATATGAAACATCAAAAGCATAATTATGTCAGTTATAAAACACACAAAACCTGGCGCATATTTGTATCAGTTCAAGTTGTCACATTATATAAAACTGTCAGGAGAAATGTTAGAGTAGTAACAGTATCAGTTATAAAGGAAAACATTGTTCGTATAGAATATGATTCAATAATAAAAAATAGATTTGCAGAATAAAAAAGTATAAGTATTTTGAGACAGGGTGTATGCATCTATTTCTTCATCAACCATTATGGACTGGGCTTAGTTAAACAACCAATAAAAACTGGAACGGACTGAACAACTGCTCCGTCCTTTTGTTGAACTCTTTATCAACTCACATCCACAACTCCAAACCAAGATAAAGTATTTGCATACTTGGATAAACTAGTTGTTCATTGCTTCCTAGTTTTCGGTGGCTGTCTAAGATCAATCCGTGATATGAACGATAAAATTCAACAATCTCCACTAATTTGTTCGTGCTAATAGTTAGCTTAATTAGTATTAATAGGATTATGACAAACTTTCAATGTCTTATTATTATTATTAGACTATATGCTATCATGTTATCGTTGCATATTTCTCTCCTTCTAGTCGCTACAACACTTTCGTATTACACAAGAATAATCCGTGTTCTCTATAAAGTAGCCAGTTCAAATAAAGAATCAATTGATGCTATTGAAAATGCACTTCTACCTACTTTAATTACTTATTTAGAAAATCATGAAGTATCAGAGAGTGGAGATATTGAAGTAAGCACAAGGGAATGATGGTTTTATTTCGATATTCTTTTTTATTGTTAACCGCTTAATATAACAGCAAAGTAAAAGTATTTTCTGGTTTTCACAATATATTACTTTAATATGATAATACGACTGGTGATCAAGATTATGCTACTAACTAGACTGGATTCTTGATCGATGGGGAATATATAGTCTGGATCACGTTACATCAAGTACACGATTCACTAGCAATTATACAGAACATGAGTATACGCTAAACGCTGTCTTATTCAACCCATTTAAAACTTTTTATACCTAGTGAGTCCAGAGTAGAAATCAGCAACAGACAAGGGAGTTACATATCTTATTGTTTGTAAACTTAGTGTCTGTTTGTACACATACAGTAGCTAATCACACTTACTTACAATAGCAACACGTCACTGTTGCATATTCCCTTATGACCCCTTTTAAAATTTTGTGTGTAATAAGTTGGATTGATATGTATAATTGTTATAAGGCTTTTATTTGAACAGTTTTTTGGATTACTAAGCGGATAAATCCAATGCTATCCGATAGATTATGAAGTATGCCTTGTAATACGAAATAGTCGAGGAATAGCTGGTCACAAGATCGAATGATTGACGTAAACCAGCGTAATCAACATTTCTAAATGATTGATTTTATCGCTATTACTACCTATTAGTCTTGAATGGTTTGTACCTTAAGGACGTTTGACAATTAATTGTTAATTAATTATGGTGCACATGGGCTCCAGTATCCTAAATAAACAAATGGCGTATGAACCAATCGTCGGTCACCGGCTACCATGGGACTGCATCTTTTTACGATGCTCCACTGCCTTGTGGATCAGACCTTAAGGTCGAAGGCTCGGGGTGTGGCCCCCTAAGAAAACCACCTGTTTCGGTTTGGTCACCCACATATCAAATGAGATCTGTGTGGCGCATATATATATTTGGTGCCTCCTTCTACCAATATCTACGTGTTAAAATAAATAAATAAACAGATGAAATGCGCTGAATCTTAGACATGTGGCCCCTCCTTAATAAACTAATGTCAGAAAAGTGTTCTCTCCTAAGAAAATTACTCATGTACAAAATTTTGGACGCAAACATATCAGTGTCAACTTTCAAGTCATTCACTCTCCGATAGAATTCATCCCTTGAATTATCAAGTTTGATTCTTATTTGATCCGACTATAACGGTAAATTTTTCGTTGTTTACTCTTAAAAAGTTCTGTAGTTCTTTATTGTTAATAACTTATACTGGTATAAATGGGTACACCACAGAAATAACAAAATTAGATTGTGAGGAGCTTGAGGAAGGACAGCGAGCGTATTTACAATAAATAATAAATACATATAAGTGATCAAGAAAAGTTGATAGCAAGTGAGAGAGTTCAGTTAAAAGCACAGTCATGAAAAGCTTCTTTCAGTTAAGGGGCTTCCTCACAATTTTATGAAGCATGTAAAAGAAAAACTAAAACCAGGTTTCCGTTGACTTTCGTTCAGATCTATGTTTGATAACACTGTTTCAAGCCACTGAGTTTCATAATCTTCAGGACCTTAATCAGGGATTCTTGATGAACTGACATATAGCAGTCCTACACGGCTTTGTTTCATATCGCGCCGCCATGACATAAACTTATCATTTACCTCGGATTTTTTCAGCCAATCCTTGATTCGGCAAATAATGAACGAGATAAAAGTCACATGTACTACATTTGTAACACATATCCAGTTTATCAAAGCTGGTAATTCAAAATGGTGATACCAGTTGTATTTTTGTTACAGCACCCGAGCACACATTGCCAAGCCTCAATATTGCTAACATGATGTTTGTACCGAATGTCGGTACAACGACTGAACATAGAAAGTCCTCGAAGAAGCCAGCTTTCCAAAACATATAACACTGGGTTTCTTACTGACATGTATATTTGGTCCGTTACAGACGGACTGACATCATGACGAAATCAAGGATGACTCAGGTTGGCATAATTCGCTTTGACTTTCAATATGTAAATGAATTGATCTCAGCTGTCATACCACCGACACCAGTAGGACGAAATGACTTCCCGGTACTCTCAGGGTTTTGGCGTTACCCTTAAATCTGTAAAGAATATGACCTACAAATTAAAGCAATCACCACAAATTCACTTTATCAATAAGACTAAATAATTAACTCGAATACATTATTGTCTTACGTATGAAAAACTGTCGTATGCTTTCAAATTCTCGAATTTGAATTCGTGGATCAACCTAAGCTAGACCACTACTAATATCCTGGAAGCACTGGACGTGCACAGCAGTGCACGTCCATGAACCCTCATACGGGACTAGAACCTAGGACCTTCAGTCTTGCATGCGAAGGTTTAATCTCTAGACCATTGAGTCGGCATGCAACGTTGTCAATGTCTAACTTTAATCGATCCATGATAAATTTCACTAACAATAAACTGAAAACATCTTTCAGTACCTAAGTTATGTTTATTTATTATGAAATCTGAACACTTGTATTTTCAATTTTTATGACGTAATTTTTAGGGTTGTAATGGTAGTTTGACATCTATTTTATCTTCTAGACTCATTCATTTCAATTCGTCGAATTTCTTTATTGAATCAATTTTTTGTCTATCAATAACTCTTTAAAATATACTGTATTTAATATCATAATGGGTTTTGTTCTGTGTGGTTATAGGCAGCCTTGAAAGTATTCGGTGTGTTGATCAGTCCATCAGAATTTGGAATTAGTTCCAATTTGATTCACCGAGTATTCCCAGCTGTTGTACATATCGCTATCACAAGTACAGACGCTGTAGTGATTTCAGTAAGTTATTTTACTGAACTATTGGATCTGTTATTGCATAAACTACCTTGTTTCTTTTTCATTCTGTTTCCTTTTATCCGTAATTTATTTCTGTGTATAAGTTAAAACATTCAACGCTTTAAAGGTTAGATTTGTCATTTTACACGATCTTTATTTCTGGCAATTTTCAATTATAAGACCACTGGGTACATATTTAGTAAAGAGTCTAATAAAAAATCACTCAAAAATTTACCTATTTACTACACTTTATTTATTATTCTTAGTTTTAAAATGTCACACATATTCCTCATTCGATAAACAATAATATACACTCTGCGATCATTTAATTCTGTCAGTTTGGGCTTTCTTTGGCCACATGTATGACATATGCTTAACCATCCCCTAACTCGACAGCCAATGTTGGCTGATGTCGAACTATGTTGAAAGATTAAAGTAGATAAATCAAAATTTAATATCAGTGGTTGATCGAAATCAATCATCATAACGTAGTTATATTTACTATTCATCTTACTTCAGATCTTTATTCATAGAATTCACTCATGCATATCTTCTCATTCTACTTTTTCTAATCATATTTTTAGCAGTTTTGTCTTATAATTGTTTCTACTACATTATTTGCATTCATTTATTATTATTTATTTATTTTATTATTTTAACACATAGATATCGGTTCAAGGAGGCACCAAATACATATGCGCCACACAAATCTCATTTGATATGTGTGAAGGCTGTGATAATGCTCGGGTGCCCAAACCGAAACAGGTGGTTTTCTTAGGGGGCCACACCCCGAGCCTTCGACCTTAAGGTCTGATCCACAAGGCAGTGGAGCATCGTAAAAAGATGTAGTCCCATGGTAGCCGGTGACCGACGATTGGTTCAAACGCCATTTGTTTATTCAGGATACTGGAGCCCATGTGCACCATTGTTTTGAGATCCGGTTAAAACACCGGACATTCTGCCCCCAAATGCCCTGGTACGGCCGAGAGTGGGGAGAGTCCGCTCACCTTCTCGAAATGCTCTCACATGGCCACGCGTATATAGCCTCTGTCAGGGAAGTCCTACTCACTGCCTTCTCGTGGCGGGGTTGTTGTCTACGAAAATGAGAGGACGAAAAGCGAATGTCCAGCGAATTCATTTATTATTCTTATTGTTGGTTTCATATGATTATCCCTATGGTCTTGCAACTTGAATCCATACGTATTTGTACGGAGCTCTACTCTGATTATCACTGATTGACTAAGATGACTTGAAAAAGTTACTCACATGAAGCCATGAAACGTCAAAAATCTAACTTTCTTGTCACTCAGAGCGAAAATTACAAATCCTTAGAAGCATTTCGATATATCTCTCAGTTTTATTATACTCTTTATATAATATGATTTGATTCATTCACTAGATACTTGGGTATGAGCCATACGCTCCCCAAACCGAGGTAGGTGAACCAATGTTCAAACCTGTGACTTTGTGACCAGTCGTCAAACACATTAACCGTAAAATCGAGTAACAGGTACATAGCTACTTAACTGTAATTTATGAACGGTTAATGAGCTAAATCAAAGCTTTACAATTAGGACAATATGAAAACATTGTAAATCAAATATTTACTACCTATACAAAAATATATGTGGCAATTCATCTATAGAATAGTTCTTTAAGTTCCATCTTTCCCACTTATTATCCACCTATATCTAACAGATATGATTCTACTTGTATTTAAAATAGGTTCTGCATTGTTAACCGTACTAACCAAATTTAATTTTTATTCTCTTTATCGCTTAATGCTGTTTCTTTTCGGTATCAAAACTTAATTCTTCTAGGAATGCTGTGATGTGATACGCTGTTATTTAGCAGCCGGTTCTTCACAAATTCTCGAATGGCATGATGATGAAGGTGAGTATGCGTTTCATGACTTTTATAAGTTAAATTACCTCGTATGATTACTATTAATTCTTAGTGAAAATTTTTGGAGTGGTGATTTAGTGGTTGGGTCGTTTGGCTTTCAGCCAACAGGTTGCAGTTTCGAAGCACTCTCCATCTGCTTCGCTTCAGATATTATTGTGGTGTATGCTACTTATGTCTGTCGACATAAGTAATACTTGACCCCAATCAGAAGTGGAATGCCTGGGAGCAGAATGTTGAGAAGTTCGTATCGAAGAGAATGGGAACAGAGAGTAGTTGTAATAGCAATCAAGAAACGATTAAGTTTGAGACAATTGATGAATGATTTTTAAATGGAGTATTTAATATTTAGTTTTCACATTTTACGAAATGACTCTAATTTTGAATTAAACAATAAATTGGTTGTACCCCTCTGAGTGTTTATTTTTTCATTTGGTATCGCCGCCAAACGGGAGGTGGGGAGGGTGCAATCCTGTGGACACTGTCGTGTGACTGGAAGAGAAGTCGCTAGTTTAAGCGGTCTGGTGCCGGGAAGGGACGTTGATTGGAGTGTTCTGGCGCGGCGGCGTTGTGTTTGGCCGTCGTTGTCGACGGATAGGAGCAGTAGGACGTGCGGCTGCTGAGCAGATATCGAGTATGGATAGCTCGCTGGGTCTCTGGAGTTCAGGCTTTCGACGTCTTGGATGCTGGGCGGATGTCGAATTTAGATGGTCTGGCGGGTCGATATTGTTACGGAGGTCAGCGCATTAACGAACTCAACATTTTGATTGAGAGGGTAGTCCAGACTACGGCAAAGTAGTATGCCGCACGGCGAGCAGAACAACTGCAAGAGTGACTGTTTTATAGGGGGGGGTAAGTGTGATGTATGCTACATATGCCGACAGACATGTTTTATGAAGCAGCAATTGAAAGTAGAATGTTAAGTGGCAGAAGATTGAAATAAAGAGAATAGGAACGAGAATGATGGAGTATGTAAAGCACAACTGGAGGATAATATAGAAATGTTGTACTCCATTTATGATTTTCATACTTCACAAGGACATTGTGATTTAGCAAAAATAATAAATTGATTTACTAAACCCGAGTTTTTGTCCAGTACATTACCGGTCCTCACACCTAGAGTATAACTCGAAGCTACGTATGTGAATCTGTACTTGGTATATAAGTTGAGTAAATAGAAACTAATGTAAATAACCCCCGATAACAACGCATGCTTTTATTTTCTCTGATCCATTTCGCTTTAGTATATCACTAGATCATTGAACGGTAGTGCATTTAATGACGAAAGTATCATTTTTTAAAACCACGACTTATATATATATATATATATATATATATATATATTACTTTTTAAAGGAGCCTAAACGGCATATAGAACATCAAATGATTCACACTGATTTGTTCAACAATAAGGCTTGATTATCCCAAAAGTATTAATAATGTATGACAGCATAACATCACTGTTTAGATTAAGAAGAAACCTATTTCATTGGCCAGCAGCTTAAACTGGTAATTTTTAATTAAATCACTTTCTTATTTGTGTAACTTGTCACAATAACTGATATTCTGATAACTGTTGGAATTGTAATCTGTTTTCAGCTGATTAGTTGTATTTTAACTAAGCATTCTATCGACCTTAGTTACACAAACATTAAAAAGCATAGAGTACGTGAAAGCTATTTAGTCGTACTACGTGACTGTAGCAATACACACTAGCATTACCTCACCATACTCAATCTCTTGACCAGCTTTATTCGTTTTTACTCACTGTACCTACGACCAGCACCTCGATGTTACACATATCTTTTCCATGATTAATAATTGTACTTTTCTCAATTTATATTAATTATTTTCCCTTACTTATTTCGTGTTTCCCTTTTTAAAAATTAAATTAGGCAATAATGGAGTTGGTTATATACTCCATGTAACTTCTCGTTTACTAGATCCCTCGAACCCAGTTGAATGGGCTACACCAGCTGGCAAATTAGCTTATGCTATTCTACTTCATTTTGATGCTCAGCAGTTGAGAGAGAATACAGATTTGTTATTACGTGGTGTACTAGCTCGTCTGTGTACATTAATGGGTAAGAATTTCGCTTTTTTTTATAGACAAGATTTTTATGGTTTACATCATAAACTGACCTTAGTTAAATGACCATTGAAAACCAGGAAGCAGCGAACAGTTGTTTCATCCTTCTATGAGAGGCTTCAGCAGTTCATTGAGTTTCAGAGTACTCATAACATTAGTAATGATAATGTTCCCTATCAGTAATCCATTTCGTGGAGTCATTCCCGTAGCTCTAATGAAAAGTCACGATTAATAGAGTTCATTCATGTCTAATGTTAGACAGTTGCTCATCAATGGTGTCGGAAAATGACTGCACAAGATCATGATTTAACTGAAGTTAGAAATATAAACCATTAAATCTTTACTCAGTAGTCTGAAGGTTAAGTACGTATCGCGAGACATGAATGTCCTAGATTCTATTGTTTATGGATTACTTTCCAACCACAAGTTGGAAAATGAAAAGGAATAACCTTGCGTATAAATTAACACTCAATGACCTGTAAATGCAAAACTACAAAACCAAAAAAAATGATACCAACTAATCAGAGAAAGCAACAGAAATCAGTGCGAAAATATGAATTAGTCACATGTCATCGCGTTTTTCTCTCTCTAAAAATAGAAATAAAATATATTGACGAAACAAACAAGATTTTCTGATCTCACCTTAGCAAAGTTACTAAGGAGTACCACGTACTAGCATGAAACATCTATTCAGTTCTTTTTGAATCTTATTAGCCGTCTGTTTATGGTAAGTTCATAATATTGAAAGTCCACAATTATCACAAGCTCCTCATACTTATGGTGTGTTATCTCAGTAAATCTAAACTTTGAATTACTTATTACGTAACAACTGAATATGTGTTTTTTATTTGTGAAATATCTGGTATATAAACAATCGATTCATAGTTGTTCATTGGAATTAGTTATGTTTAGATAATAATTCACTTCATTGAAATTTGTTGGCCTGCTTAAATATCTGGACTACCTGTTCCTGTCATCTAGATGTTCCTATACCTATTAATCACATAACCTATTCAGGCAGGTTCGTAAAAAAATTTACAAACTTTCACTGTTCAAGCTACAAAAATGTACAATCAGAGACATTGTGGTGGGTGACAATATGCATTAAAAAAACGAATGGAAATTATTCAGATGTTGATTCCTGAACTGCTGATATAATAATAATAATAATAATAATGCATTATTAAACGTGGAGTTAAACTTGGTGATGTGTATAGCTAGAAATATTATCAGACTTTGTTTTTTATACTAGCTTAGATAGAGATTGAATAACAATAAAGGTAATAATACTCTAACTGTTGATAATACTTTTCGATAATGTAATACGAAGTTGAAGATTATCAGATTTATGTGATGATGATTCACTTTGTATTGTTTTACTTAAATCTTCCCATTGATGTTTTGGACTGAAATTGATCAGTCTCTTAATGGCATATGTGCATACTGTGCGTATTGCCTGATCAATTTCAGTCCTAAACATCAATGGGGAGATTCAAGTAAAACAATACAAAGGGAATTAAACTTCACCCCATTGCACAAGCAAGTGGCTATCAGGGCTCAGTGGCTGAGTGGATAACGCGATGGCGTTTGAAGCGAATTGTATTCGGTTCGAGTCCCAGAGTGAACACCAACCCTGAGATGCAGGTACATCCAGCTGACGAGTCCCAAACAGGACGAAATGCGCGTCCTGGATTCCACTGCTAGCCACTATCCATCTTTGCTTATATTTCGAACAATCTGATCACGCATAATATACTTGTTAAGAACATTTACATATAAAAAAATAAAAGGTTAACTAGACTGGAAATGACGGTAAGAGGAGACAAGGATAATAATTAGAGTAATAATAATAATGTGAACATAATTTGAAACCTAATCACTCTGGATAATAAGCCAATGTTACAAGGGTAGGTTTAAGGTGAGAACAAACTGTTTTTGAATACACAAAGGGGATAATATTGGCATATTATCCAGAGTGATTAGGTTTCAAATTATGTTCACATTATTATAACTCTTATTATTATGCTTGTTCCCTCTTACCCTTATTTCCAGTCTAATTGACCTTTTATTTTTATATATAAATGTTCTTATTAAGTATGTTATGTGTGATCAGATTGTTCGAAATGTATTGCGCTAATATATCATCACATAGTTGTGATAATCTCCATCTTCCTATTACACTATCGAAATTTATCAAAGGGACTGACTGCTTTAAATTTTTAAATGTGGTTATACAAAGTCCCAGCTAGATTCAATTTAACAGCTTCACTCCTACCTAGTTCCAATAAATTTACTATCACTGTTCACCATCAATATTAATAATAATCATATGTGATTGAATTGTTGTAGTATTTGTCATTCATTGAATAAAACTGTGTATCACTTTGACAAATTGTCTCAGCTTAACATATACACTAATCACTGGAATCAGTAACAACATGTTGCTTTAAATTGTTTGAACTGTTGTTATCCTTTTTATTTATGGTTTATTGTTTAATTTTAATCGAATGATTTTCCAGTAGTGGATTACATAATCATATTCATCTGATCTATCTACTTCTCTATGATCTGACTATTATTTATATCATTCATTCTCATTTGAACAGTATATATTTCAATACAGTTCACATGACAACTTACAGTTGAAATAAATGACAAAACGGTCATCTAATGCTTCCAGGTTTTCACTCGTGGTCTAGTTTAAATCAGCTCCGTGAATTCAACGGTAAAATAATTCAGTTAGGAATTATTGTTGTTTATTAGTCTTACGTCATTGATCTGTCTACCTACTAATATACAATAGAGGACTTTTCTCGATCTAGATTAAAGTTTTGACACGATAGGCTAACTACTTTAACCTTGAGACCAGAAATGCGTAAGTTTGAGTTGAGACTAACTGCTTCGGTTAGAGACAAAAACTATCCTATCACCTGATTGGCTGACAGGCGAGAGAGAGAGAGAAAGAAGACGAGTCAACCATCATATTTTATAAGTGAAAGTCCTTACATAAGATTAGTGTGTTGTATAATCAGTAGTAAGTTAAGACTATAATATACAAATGAATCAGTGAGATTTAACACAGAGACATTTGAGTTTTGGCACGAAATTCATTTATCTATATGGCTAAATACACTTTGGTATTATTGACTATTGTTAGTTTGCGATGTAAACTTCTACTCATATCTTCAGTTCTAATTTCTATCTTTAATTACTGATCTTAATTCTTTACACTGATTATTAATCCTATTTTGGTACTAGTATTCGGTTAACGTTTGCCAATGTCACTAATATATCGTTCAAAGGTCGTCCACAAATTATATTCTGGCCATTAATAATATATCAAGACATTTTTATGACAAGATAACAAATATGGTGCTAAAATTCTTTCTTTTTTATTGTATGAATAAATGAGACGGTTCGAAATGTGTTCATTGATGTGTATTATTTGTGTCATCAAAAGAAATATTTCAGTGTTAACAGTGAAACAACTACAATTCTTTGTTTGATTTTTGAACTCCCCACAATATTTGGAATTTGCATCAAATGTTAGTTGTTTTTTTTTTGAAAATTACTTATGGAAATTATCAGCAAACTGGGTGTGTGGAGACTTAAATTTCATGGTGTGTATCACAATCTGAACTCAAATATCCATTTCAAACGCCAAAATCAATAATCCCTCGATGCACGACTTCAATTTCTTTGATTCATTTCTTGACAAACTTGTAAATTTGCACTCTTAAAGAGTCCGATAGTAGAATAATACAGCTGTCTAGGGCTTCGTGTTTCCTAGAAGGGTTCTTTAATCAAGATCAGTTCGTGATGTAAACTACAAAATTAATGAAGACGGTTACCTGAATAAGTATCAAACATTTATACTACTCATTAGTAATTCAAAATAACTTTAAAGAAATATTTGCTTCAACATGTATCTCCAGTGTTATATATGGGCGAATAATTTTAGGAACTATTCTACCGTTAATTATTATAAACATTTGTTTATTATATATTCATTTATTACTTCTACTGTAAAATTTTCACACTGTCCTAATTGTAAGCTGTCAATAGAAGTATTGACTGTTGATAAATTAGCGTTACACCCATTACTTGGTTTTGTATCATAAATGGCCTGGTTTTGTACAGGTTGTGATTTCCTATTTATGATGTTTTGTAGTCCTGTAATTGAACCATAATATGTACAGATTAACTATCTCTCTTCGTATTCTGATTGAGTGTTGGAGATACGAGTTAGTTCTACCAAATCGGCGTTATTGTACCTGGTCGTTGTATGTGGTCATTAGTGTTATTTGGTGTAAGTCAAAGTCATCGTTGCTGGATTCATTAATTCGGCATACGGAATTTCAATTCATAAAACATAGATTTGTCGCTTAGATGACTGTATGGTAATTATAAATCCATTTCCCATTGTGAGCCAAATAATGCAATAACCACACTTTTTTAATCGCTCATTAAAATCTTACGTGCATCTATTGATGCCAATTGAAAAGTACTGTCTTACTTTGTATTTCTCCAAAATAAGTCAGTTCAGCATATGGTTATCTGTAAAAGCCGTGTTTTTTAGAGTGTTACACTTCGGGGACTTTTTCAGTAAAATTTCCTTCAAAAGGAGAGCTAATATTAGTATCACCTATCTGCTAAAATATGTTTTATTATCTTTTATTATTCATCGTTCATAAACATAGCTTAACCAGCTAATAATCTGCATGATGCACACGTAACTACGTTTGCTTGTTAGATTTTGAGGTGTCTATACTGCTCCCCTGGTCATTTTTTGTGAACCTGATCTAAACAGGTGATACGAGGCAAACATTCGTGTACTCGTTTTCGAGCCTCACTTCAAATGTAGAGGTTACGATTCTTAGTAACTTGGTTACTTAAACCGAATTAGCTAGACCAGAATTCGAGCCTGCGGCTTAGTGGTTAGAAGTTGAACATTTTAATAGCTAATCTACCACTCCACTCCTCGAGCTTGATCAT